TTATATATATATATATATATATTTATATATAAGTTTAGAGAAATATTTAAAAAATTTCAAATAGTTCACGAACTACTAGGTAATTTATCCATTTTGTAATATTTGTTAAATATGTCTTTTGATGTAGGTAAAAGATTTTCATTATCATAAAAATTACTTTTGGGGTGGAACTGAAATAAAAGTATGGCATGGAAAGGTGGAAGGTCTATCTGTCTTCTTCTTAGAGCCTCAAAACGGGTAAGAACTTTGACTTTTTTATCCTTAAAAGTTGTTAGGAAATATTTCCTTACAAAAAAAATTAGTAAATAGAAATAAGTTTAAGATTCATTCCTTATTTATCTTTATCTTTTTTTCTTTTATTTATTTTTATCCTTGTTTTTAGGGAAAACTATTAAGAGAAACACCATATATAGGGGTTGACAGATCTAAGAGATAGGGAATTGGTATTCTAATTTTATGTAAATAATCGGGAAGGGAGTCTCTCTCACCTAATTTCGTTGGAATTCCTTCTTTTGTTTGTATTTTTCAATTATTTATTTTGAAGAAAAATTAAAACTTCCCAATTCAACTTTAAACGATAGACATTGAATCTTTATCTAAAATTGTAACCTTTTATGATTTACTACTTGTTCACATGGATAATCCCACTAATACTAATGATTCAAATTGTAAGGAGCTTGCACCTTAGAAGATTTGAATTATAATTGAAGTTCATACTTATTTTGAAAACACACTTTGAATCAACTTTAGGTCACAACAATGTGTGTTGAGACTTGAAATAACATTTAGGGAAGGACATAGTGATTGTATATTATAATTGAACTTAATGTTCTTATAACAAAATTGGTTGATAGCTATCTCAAGGACTTGGATTCATTCAGATATCATTTACTATATAGAGTTGCCTAAGGAGGGGAAGGGGGGCGGGGAGGGGGTGGGAATTTCACTTGTGATGGATTTTCAACACCAACACAATATGGAAATAATAGGATGGTGGGGCCAAGCCATTTTGGTGTGAAATTTTTTAAACACAATATAGGAACACTTCACCCATAAATATCAAACATGATGCCTAAATATTTCCAGGCTTGTAAAATTTGGTAACTTTGTTATCAATATCCCAAGTATATATATGCACAAGGCCAAGAACTATTTTAATATATATATATATATATATATGAAATTCAAAATTATCTCTTTAAAATATGCAACAAACTCAAACTATGGCTAAAGAAATAATTCTTGTATTGCTTTAAAAACGAGTTGAGAATAAAATATATTATTCGTGTGTAAAAACATAGTCATGATTATGTATGAAGAAAACTTGGAAGAAAAAAGAAGAAGAAGAAGAAGAAGATGACACAATTGTATCAATTTTGTAACAAACTCAAAAATTTAAAATGATAACTGTTGACTATATTGTCTTTGACATAAGTACTAAAAATGCATATACTTTGTGTCTGTCTATGACCTTTGCATCCCCTGCGTAGTAATTCTGTATTACTTTTTCTCGTTTTTACTCTTCATGATCATTATTAATAAGATGACTAGGAAAATTTCTACTATTTCACAAATTAAATTATGCTTAACAACATTTATATTTTTTCATGCAGATTCTTTCATGTTGGCTGTGTGTATGGTTGTGGGAATGATGCAGAGAGATTTGGTTTTTTTTGTCATGCTGCTCTTGAATTTCTACATCAAAATGAATTTCATCCCGTAAGATATATCATTTGATTAACATTTTGCCAATTACTTATGTAAATAATTGTTCAATCCTGTGAGATATACTTTTAACTTATGAATTGTAACCAAAATATTAGACTTAACTTATTAACTTGTTTTTTTATATTTATAATAAAACTATTTAATATAAATCACGTCAATCAACTTCATTCAAAATCAATTTAATCAATCGATTTTGCTCACTCAAAAACACACTAAATTGATCGTTTGACTTTAAGTTAATACCATTTATGTATGGTTATGGACAGGATATCATCCACTGTCATGATTGGTCGAGTGCACCAGTTGCATGGCTATTTAAAGAACATTATAAACATCACCATTTAAGCAAAGTAGGGGTTGTGTTTACAATTCATAACCTAGAATTTGGAGCTCATTTCATTGGAAAAGCAATGACATACACAGACAAAGCAACAACTGTAAGTGCTGGTTTGACACTAAATTTGTCTACTTTTCTAACTTTATTTTAAAAATTCATTATCATTTTCATTATTTATATTAGTTGGTATTATTTAGTTGTAATATTTGCTTTATTCTTTTAGAATTTCTTGTCTTTTTACCTATAGAGTAGAAGGAATTTTGCTAGTATATAAAGAGTGTTAGCTTTAAGGTTGGTGCACTTTTCAAATCAGTTGAATATGAAGGCAAGAAGTTGATTGATTCACTTTCTTCATGGATTTGAACAAAAAAAAATATGTTCGCAGTGATTATCACTCGTGGGGTTTCTTTTGTAGGATTGTTGAGAGAAATCATGCCATGATTTTTTTTTTTCTAGTAATATTGACAAATTACTAGGTAGTATGTATATTAGTGGGAGAATAAGTTGAGTTGGTCATGAAAGAGAAAAATGAATGAATTAATTCATCACATCTTTTTGGGACCTCGCACTTATCATATGTGAGTATGATTAAAATTTAATATGAAACAAATTTCTTTTTTCTCTTGTATTATAATTTTACTAAAAAACTTGATGACAAATACAATTTAAAAATTTAATCAAAATCAACAATATTTGAAGGAAGGAAAACCTAAAACTGGTTCTTACATTTGTACATTATTCTCTTTTCCTTCTTATCAATATGGGATCTTAGTCATATATGCTTATATTGACAGGTCTCCCCAACTTATTCTAAGGAGGTTTCTGGGAATCCTGCAATTGCCCCTCATATTCACAAGTTCCATGGCATTATAAATGGAATTGACCCAGATATATGGGACCCATATAATGATAAGTTCATTCCTGTAAGTAGGCATATATGCAATTTTTTCTTTTTACATAGAAGGCAATTTTTTGTTTGGTTACAAGGAGGGGCAAAGCCCATAAGAACCAATTTTAATATTGAATGTAATTATCAAACTTTAATCCCAACTATCATTGCTTGAGTACTTGATAACCCATTAATATTTGTATCCTATCTCCAAAATTATATAATGTATCATATACTCGTCTTAAATTCTTCAAATTTTGTCAAAATACTTGAACCTATATTTATGCAATATAGGTGTTGAATGACCATTTTTTCTCCTTGGCTTTTACTTCTACTAGATGAAACCCATCTTATATTGTATTTTTCTATGACCCTGCAATAATACAACCAATTAGAGTGAAGATACTTGTGTCATACTCCTTCTATAACTTTGTGTCAGGAAGAATCGTATACTTAACTGTCTACAACTGCACACAACTCAAATTAAGTTTAACATTATAATGTAATAAACTATGATTGCTTTAAGAAAGCTGGATTGATAGATTAGTGAATGTAGTTAAGTTTAGTAATGACTTGGAAACATTACCTTATCCCTTATACCCATCTTGTACTTATTCTTTAGTTAAGTATTATTGACTTTGTTAGGATTATTTTAATTCTACTAATCCAATTATGACCAGCTTAATCAAACATTGTTGTAGGTATCATACACATCCAAATATGTTGTTGAAGGTAAAAAAGCTGCCAAGGAAGCCTTGCAAAAAAGGCTTGGTTTGAAAAAGGCTGACCTTCCTTTATTGGGAGTTATTTCTCGATTGACTCATCAGAAAGGAATTCATCTCATGAAGCATGCTATATATCGTACCCTAGAGCGTGGTGGACAGGTTTTTTTATTTTTTATTTTCATCAAATCATGTGTTGACATTACCATGTATATGCATTGCTTGCATAATAACATATAAGGAGACAACTATAGAACAAACATGAATATATTTCAAGCTTTTAGGCAATGCTGTTATCAATAATTGATAATTGATGTGATGTTAAAGTGTCTATGATTAAATTGTTTTGAGTTTCAACCATTATCTCCCATGTTAGAGATAAGTAGTTAAACACAGTTTTATTTGTCACTTTATAGATCCAGGTTTTAATTGTTTAGAGATATTATTGAAAAAAATGAATTATATTTTCATCTTAGATAGAAACTCCATGTATGCTTTTACAAAAAAAAAAAAAAAAATTTTGCCTCAAGCATGTGTTTATGATATTGATTAACCAGAGGATTAATTTCAAAGCAGGACGATTTATTTTGTTATCAGCTTTCTACTTCAATTTGGAAGTTGTTTATAAATGTTGCTTTATTAAACTAATCAATATCTTATCAATGGAAATATTTGAATGTAGGTTGTTTTACTTGGGTCAGCTCCAGATTCTTGTATCCAAAATGATTTTGTAAATTTGGCCAATCAATTGCACTCTCAACATCATGATCGTGTTAGACTCTGTCTTATGTATGATGAGCCGCTATCACACTTGGTAATTTATTGCAGAATTGAAATCTTTGGCAACACAATAGATACTAAAATCACACTTTCTAAGACTTGTTTTAAAACATTTTATTATATGTTGAAAGCTATGTAAGTCACAATGAGTGATATGGATCTCAATATCTATTCACCCCATTCTCTATTTAGTGACACCTACATGGATTTCATCTAATAATAAAGTTTATCAAAAAAGTGTGTAACTTGCTAGCATTCCTCTTGGTATCATTTAACCAGATTTATGTACAACATACATGGCATTATTGACTTATTTGAAACATTTTGTTTTAGATATATGCTGGTGCTGATTTCATTCTAGTTCCTTCAATCTTTGAACCATGTGGTCTAACTCAACTCATAGCAATGAGATATGGTTCAGTACCCATTGTTCGAAAAACCGGAGGTTTGTCATGCTTTATTTTAGTCACTTAAATAATAATTGGTTTTGTTGACTTGTCACCACTCATCGTTTATATTTGGAATGCTTTCTCGTATTAGTTTTTAGTTTTTCTTTGATTGGTATGAGCTCTATAAATCTTTACATATGTATAAAGATATGTAAAGATTTATAAAGGTATTTTTTCACCATGTAATATTATATAATTTAATTGTCACTTTTCTTAAAACGATCTTACCTAGATAAATGACTTAAAAATATATTTGGTAGTCAAATTATTTATTGTCTCAACTATGTTCATACATAATTTGTAGGACTATGTGATACTGTATTTGATGTTGAGCGTGATAGGGATAGAGCACATGCACAAGGTTTTGAACCAAATGGCTTTACTTTTGATGAAGCTGATGTTAAAGGTGTTGATTATGCCCTTAATAGGTGAGTTATATGTTGTGCAATGACTTTACATTTGTCTTTGAATACGAGAAAATCAAATGTGTCAAAAGTAAAACTTCATAATTACTCTCAAAAGTCTCTTATGACTTAAGATTGTAAGGAAAAAGTCCTTTCACAAATTTGAAAGTCCTATTATACAGGCTTAAATGTTGGACTTAAATATTCATATCGACTAAATGTCTACTTTGCTTAATAACCTTGCACACATGCATATAAACTAGTTTATAAAGTCCTAATTTTTTTTAGTACAATATTAATTTTAAAATGGACTTTTTCAGGGCAATAGTTACATGGTATGAGAATCGTGATTGGTTTAACAATTTATGCAAGACAATAATGGAGCAAGACTGGTCTTGGAATCGACCTGCTCTTGACTATCTAGAGCTTTACCATGCTGCACGTAAGTTAACATGAGATTTGACTAGACAGGAATTAAGATTCAGCCATTTGTATAATACTTTGTAGTAAGTTTTTGTTTTAAACAAACAAAAATGCATATGGCAAATCCTACATGATGACAACTATGAGGTGAAAAGCTATAACAACAAGCTTTAAATTGTTTACTTTTTAGCAAGCAACAATTTATGCCATTTTATGGCAATTTTATATATGCTAAGAATTTTGTGTCTTTAATTTGAACAACCTATGAATTGTGATTAAATAGTATTGCAGAATAGATATGCATGTTCTCATGTTTGAGAGAATTAAAAATTGAGAGTAAAAGTCATTTTATTTTAGATATATATGATAGATATTGACAAACACTTTTTATTGGATATATAGAAGGAAATATTTGATTGCAAATGCTTTATTGAATAAAAAATTATTTAATTTCTTTTCATCATCTTCCAAATTTTAACTAATGTGATAAAGAAGATTAACAATGGCTTTAGTGAGTATGTACATAATTCTAGGATTTGATTTGAAAATTTACACTACACTAATAGACAAGATATGATATTACATGTCCCTTAATGTGATGATTAGTGGAGTTTGACTTATTTCAAGATTCAATCTAATCAAATATAATCAAGATGGAATGAGTTAGGATTGGATAATCAATTAAAATATTATTAAATTCTAAAACTTAAGAATAAGAAAAAAAATTACAAATATTCATTCAAATTCGCATCAATCTCATAAGAAAAAGTATTTGTATTAATATTTAATTAGCTAACAAATCAATATTTTATTTTTATATTTTTATGCAAATCAAAATGGACATAATCAGATAATAATAAAGACATAAATATAATTTATGGCATCAAGTAAAGTTAAAACAAAATTGAAGTTAAGAGAGTAAAACTTAATGAGCATAATTTGCAAGTTCCAAAATATTTAATAAATAAATGAATTCTTTAAATATGTTTATAAGAGTTCAATTATCTAACTGTACATATAAAAACCCTTGTTGGATAAGATAAAACTTATTTGTGTCAAAGGAAAATAACCAATTACATATTAGTTAACTATATATTTTGTTTATACTAAAAAATAATATAAAATTAAAAGAAAAACTAAAAATCAAAAACTTTAATTTTTTTTGTAAAGAATCAAAAACTTTAATTAAAATATATTAATAAGGTATCATCAAATTATAAATTGTTATATATAATATATAGTAAAATTGTCAATTTCGATAATGATTACTTTAATAGATATATTTAAAGCAATTTTTTAATTAGTTATTAATGCAAAAATCTTTATATTAACATTAGGATACACTTTTTTTCATCTATAAAAATAGGTAAAAAAATCATTTTTAGGCTCCCATTTTGAAACATCAACTTTTGGTCTTTAGTTTTTAAAATATATCAAAATTTATTTTCATAAAACTTCATTTTATGATAAAATTTGTGACAAAGTAAAAATTTGACGCATTTTAAAAATGAAAGTTCCAAAATTCATTTTTTAAAAATAAGAAATTAAAAATGAAATTTCAGAAAAGAAAAAACAACCCTTTTGCCTAAGTGGAGTGCAAAATTTGAGGTTTGAAGAGAAAATCAGAAGAAAAAAAATGTCATTAATTTATTATTTTGAGATTATTAAATGCCGAAAGCAGAAATGCTTGATTCGTAATCACAAGGTTCCCTCCAAGTCCAACGGCTAGTCAGATAAAAAAATCCAACGGCTCCGATTTGTCGACCGTTTGAATTCTTGTTTGGAAAATAGCCGTTACAACCATCTTCCCTCTTCCCTCCCAATCTTTAAAAATCTCTCCAATCGATTTCAATCCAATTTCCGTAATTCAATTCAATCTCATCATTCCTTTCCTTCTATTCACTTCCCTTCATCAATTCTATCCAACTAGCGATCATGCCTCATAACAAATCATATTCAATGCCGTCAAACCCTAATCCAAGAAACTCAGAAATCAGTAACCCTATGAGAAGGAGTTTCACTGGAAACCCTTTCTCCAAAACCTCCATCGTTCCTAACCACGGAGCCAAAACACCCGTCAATAGCCCTTCAGGTATCCCTCTCTCTCTCTCTCTCGGTTATTGTTTGGTTGCTAAGGAAATGTGAGAAAATTGATGAAAAAAATAGATTTTTGATGGTTTAGGGTTTTGTGTTCTGCAGATTTTTCCAGAAGAAGCTCTGTGGGGATTCGAGAAAGCGGGGGCTCGTTGCGGGACTTCGTGGACGACAAAGAAAACGGAAAAGATCAGATTTTGAGACCGGCGAAGGTTCGATCGCCAGCTGCTTGCGTAAAGGGCCCAAAGAATTTCATGTCTCCAACCATTTCCGCTGCGTGCAAGATCAATGAGTCTCCCAGAAAGAAAGTCCTGGTTGAGAGGAATGAATCTGTCCCAAGTCCTGGGGATCCAAAAAGCCACGTTCGCAAGGTAACTTTTGCTGAGCCTTTGGAACAGAAAAGGATTGATAGGATCATCCCCAATTTTGAGGAAGGTCCCAGATCTTCCTTGACTAGTGATGATTTGAGTGGTGAGAGTGAAACTAGTGAAACTCATTATATGAATGTTCCTCTGATTTCTAAGAATGATACAGATTTGTCCTTTGAATCTGTCAATGATGTGGATGTGAATGTTCCTTTGGTTCTAGAGAATGACATTCACGCTTCAACATCATTTGAAACTGAGCCTGATTGTGTTAACCTTGACCCTTCTTTTAAGCTTAGCCCTACTGCAACTCCTCCTGTTTCTTTGAAAGCTACCGTCGTGGCTCCTCTTGATGCGGATCCTTTGATGCCCCCATATGACCCTAAAACTAACTACCTCTCGCCTAGACCGCGGTTTCTTCACTACAAACCGAAACCACGAATAGAACTCTGCAGGGAAAGGGAATTAGAGGACAGCTTCATATCTGGAAGCTTTTCAGATACAGAAGTCACGGAGGATGCCCAGTCTGATGGCTCACAGAAGGAATCAGAGGATGTTTCTTCGGATGAAACTGTTAAGGAAGAAGAGAACCAGATTTCTGAGCACAGTCCTGCTAGGAGGACTCTCATGCCAGAGGAAACTGCTGAAGCAAAAGAGGTGCCAAAACCACGTTTCACAGTTAGACCAAAGGCTGTTGCTCTGATCTTGCTTCTAGCAGTTGCTTTTGCATCAGTCGCAGTCACATATTCTCCTGTGATTGATCAAACTGTGTTTCAAGACTTCTACAAGGCTTATGAATCGTCTGGATTTTCAGAGTTTGCTAGGGCTAACTTTGATCAATTCACCCGGTTTGCAAAAACAAATTTTGATGAGATAGCTAGAAATTTTCAAACTTGGTTTACCAAGTTACTTTCTTCGATTTCTGTGTTGATTTCAGATGTTAGAGGAGCACACAATTTGAGCAAGTTGCAATATTATAACTTGACAGTTCAGCACGATACCTCCTTGGTGGATCAGTACCCTATATTTGATCATAATGAAAATGAAATAGGCGAGACTCACGAACCAATATGGGGTGCTGAAGAAAGCGATGCTGTCTCATATATTGAAAATGACGAGGATATTGAAGGGGATATTTCATCAGAGTATTATGAAGTGTACGAAGAAAGTGATGTTGTCTCGGATATTTCATCAGAGCGTTATGAAGGGTACGAAGAAAGTGATGTTGTCTCGGATATTTCATCAGAGCGTTATGAAGGGTACGAAGAAAGTGATGTTGTCTCGGATATTTCATCAGAGCGTTATGAAGGGTACGAAGAAAGTGATGTTGTCTCGGATATTTCATCAGAGCGTTATGAAGGGTACGAAGAAAGTGATGTTGTCTCGGATATTTCATCAGAGCGTTATGAAGGGTACGAAGAAAGTGATGTTGTCTCGGATATTTCATCAGAGCGTTATGAAGGGTACGAAGAAAGTGATGTTGTCTCGGATATTTCATCAGAGCGTTATGAAGGGTACGAAGAAAGTGATGTTGTCTCGGATATTTCATCAGAGTGTTATGAAGTGTACGAAGAAAGTGATGTTGTCTCGGATATTGAAAATGATGAGAATACTGAGGAGGATATTTCAGCAGAGCATTATGAACTATACGAAGAACAAGTTCACGAAGATATTGAAACAATTGCTGGAGTTGAAAATGCTTCAGATGCTCCTGAATCTGAGGAAGTATTCAGTATTATGGAATCAGATCAACTGGCTGAAGCAGAAAATTTAGAAGCAAATCTGGCACAAGAAGCTGAGGCTAACTTAAATGTTGAAAATCAGCCAAGTTTGGATGCAAAGGTTGGTGAAACTATCGAAGCATATGGATTGGATACAATGCAGACACAAGAAAAGAATGCTAAACTCAGTGTCAACGAGCAAAATGTTGAAAGTTTAGATTCCGATGTTGCTGCCGTCAATGATGATGCACAGGAAAATTCTGTTAGCATAGATGCTGCGATTAAAGGGAATGAAGAGCGATTAAAGGGAATGGACATTCCTCTACATGGGGTGCTATATTTGGTGCTCTGTGTAGGTACTGTTTTAATTGCAGGTGCAGCTTTCAACTGGCCAAGAAAGGGTAAAAGCAAAAGCAAAGGCTCCATAGAGCAACCTCTTGAGTTGCAAAACGATTCCCTCCCATCTAAGAACAAGAAGATTTCTCCGGAGAAGTCATCTGGGCCTGTAGAAATGGACGTGCTTGAAGATTCATCATGTCCTTCAGAAACGAGCAGCTTTCAGCAAAGCTCATTCTATAGCGAAAAGGTTGTGAATGAAGGTCACAGGCAAGTCCCGGAGAAGAAGCGAAAGAGTAACTACAGGAGAGAATCCTTGGCCTCTTCATCAGACTATTCCATGGATTCCCCGTCCTATGGAAGCTTAACTGTGTATGAGAAAATTTCAATCAAGCAGGTGAGTACTTGTTTCTTACTTTCTTATGAGAAATGTAATATTGTGTGCAAACATTTATTATTCTTGTCTTAAGAGAGCATCACTGGTGAATTGTTCCTCATGTGCTACATTGTTTTTTCAGGGACATGGGGATGAGGAGGCTATCATCACTCCTGTTAGGCGTTCAAGTAGAATTAGAAAACAAGTTACTTCTCCTTCATAACCTGATTTTGGGGTTAGTATATGTGTTTGGTTTTCAGTTCACATGTGTTCGAAAGCATGTTCCATGGGGTGTAGTGTCATTGAACTGAATCTGAACGATAAAACCAAACACCACATCCTTAGTTGTTCAAGTAGGATTAGAAACCTAGCTAATTTCTCCTTTTGTAACCTGACCAGCATAAGCTGTTACTGTAAGCAGAAGTGTCCTATCTTCTGAATCTTGACTCTGTAGCAGAAGAAATTTATTGTTGAATGAATCACCGATTGGTTTATTAATTTGAATTAAACTATGACTTGTTGCAGTTTCTTTCTTATTCTGCTTTGTAGCTTTTGAAATGAATTGTGAATATCCATCCACTCAAGACTCCATTCTAAAAAGGAAGGAGAAAAAATAGGTGGAGATAAAAATGAGGAAACTATATTTATTCATTTTCTTGTCAAGACATGCATTAATTTAAAGAATAAAAATGAATCTCTTAAATATTTTTGGATTTAATTTTGATATTTAAGCATGTTAAAGAATATATTATTAAAATTAAAAAAAATGTTTTTATTTAATTAAAGAAAAATAATTTTATTATTTTTCTTGTACTTGTCCCCCACTTTGAATGGGAGTGTGATGGAGATACATTTATGTGGAAGGCATATATTTGATTAGACACGTCGATGACCTAAATCCCTAAACATATATAGGTGGCAAGCTGGCAATGAAGAGGGAAGCTTGTGTATTTTGGGAGTGCCACCTACGCTTTCTTTTCTTGCCTCTTGTCACCACAAAGTTTTGAAGGGTGTTGAAGCGACAAAACAATTGCGGAAATCATAAATATACAAAGCAAATTCAATGGACCATTTTCAATAACTTATTAGTATTGCTTTCTACTTTATTAGACACCAGTTTTCGCTCGAGTAAATGAGAAGAAAGAATATGAAATTGTCATAGTTGTACTTGATTCTCAAATATTTGGTATCATGGAAAATAGGTACTATGGACGGTAAGTAAGAATTGAACATTTTCATCTACCATACGAATTCGTTAGTGGAGGTTAACTGCCCCACTTAATTCTATTTTACAATGCAATTATCAACTTTGTGTTCTGCCTTCCCACTCTTTAATTTTGATTCTTTCATTATATTCTTATATACTCACCCTATTTTCGTATCATATAAATCCTTCACATTTTAAGATTAAATAATTCTTTCCTTTTCTTATATGCAAAATGTTATTTTGGCATTTCATTTTTAGAATAATGCGATAGGATTTTGCATGGAATTAGAACTCATTTTTTGTTTGGAGTCGGATTATAAATTGAAATTCTTTTTTATTATTATTCATAGCTACACTTCACAACCAATCTTCGGATTCTTATTTTTATTTTGCCGTTCTTAAAATTATCACAATAAGCACACAAATAAATAAAAATAATATTTGATGTTCATAAAATAAGATAAGGATGACAAAGAATTTCAACTTGTCTAACTCGCCTTTTTTAAGAAGTAAGAACCATGCTGGAGATTCCAATAATCTATTTTCATCCATCTCTGATCTGAAGAAAAAAATAATAATAAGATGAGGATGAAAAATACGCAAATAAATATAAAACTTTTTTTACGATCAAAATAAATATAAAAGTTAAAAATTCAATATCATGTTGAAAACAAAAAATGAAGTTATAATAGCAAGAATCATGACTGAACAATTATTTTTATATAATTTTTTCTGCTCTTTTTTTCAACTCGTGTTTATTTCTCCTATGAGTTACTCCGTATTTAATACCACGCATCTCAAAATTAATGCACCTGAGAATTAACCAAATATTTTATATATATTAACATATATAAAATGTCAAATTTGTTAAATAATTTGATAATACCCAAATAAATTATAAGAGTTAAAATTCAATATCATGTTGAAAGAATCATGATCTGTCCAGAAACATTATTGGCTGAGTTTTACTGTTTTATTTTTAATACACCAAATTTAAACAAGTTATAATTAACATAACACTATATTTCAATGATCTTTTAAGATTATAAAATGAAAATATTAGTTGTTATAATAAAATTTTATTTTTTATGTAAAAAATATATTTTTTAAACATATTTTGATAATATTTTTTGTTCATTTTATTTTTGGCATATTAACATGCTACATTAAATGGATATGATGATATTTTTTATACATAACATATAACATGATTGATACGGGATGATACTCCTTTGAATATCTGACAAAAAGTTAAGGATATATTAGAGATTTTTAGACAAAATACTATTATCTATTTAATAATTAATCAAAATTCAATCGTTCCCAAGGAATGTAAAACTTATGCTATAAGAAATACAATTCAGGATCTTGCACTATTTTTGCGAACCAGGTGTATGTTGGTTTTTTTTAGCTCACTTTTCTAGTTCAGGTTAATGAAATATAATTCATACCCTCTTTGTTTATGAAATTTTACTTTTCTCCCTTATTTTTTACCTGATGCCATGTCTTCATTTGTAAATAGTAAAGTAAGGGATGTTGCATAATTTTTTAAAAGATATATTTGGTTCTTTAGTTTTGGAAGGATTGGGATGAAGTTGATTGAAAGAAAACAAATTTATGTAAGAATAATTTGTATATAATATACATATATGCTTTCACGCAGAATTATTATTTTCTTAAAGTAGCCTAACCCTTTTTTTTTCCATGAAATTAATGTTTTCATATATGCTATGTAATGTGAAGTAGTAGTGTGTACGGAGTAGTATATAAAATAGGCAAGTATGGTATTAATATATGCAAGTAATAATGAATACAAAATGGCGTCAGAATAACCCTATAGGAAGATAAATCGATTATGGTTTTTGTGCCAAGATAGCTAGCTGTCAATGTTTCCAAAACAGCTTGTTGCGAATCCTAAGTAATAAATGTAAATTGATATACGTGCACAATTGCTAACAGTATACAATTGCAGCCACTAGTAATGGGTGGATAAGAACTTTACTCAGTGGAGCACAAGAAAAACAATTAGTGCTTTGTCACTAAGATATGTCTAAATTAAACTAACCATATATTTCATGCATAATTTTTAAAACAATTAACTTTGTGATACTATATCATGTATATTTAAATAATGTACGTAACTGCAACAGGATACCACCAGTTTTGGCCAAAAGCCCAAAAGGTAACCATTACTACTAATGAATTGAGCATATATTTTTTTCTTGTTTCAAAAAACATGACCTTTTTTAAACATTTACAACCATCCTTCTTCCTTAATATATGAATATGTATGCCGTGCAATATTTTAAAAATAATTAAAAAGTTAACGTAGTAAAAGATGTAAGTATAATATTTTTAAAAAATCATGAGAATTACTGTAAAATTAAAAAAAGAAATATATCAGAAGGATTAATTTGATGAAAAAAATTAGAGAGGCAGTGTAGTTTGCTCTGATAAATAATACTCCGTAATAGGGAGGATACCACGATAAAAGAGCTTCAACGCATGAACTGAAAAAAAAATAAAAAAAAAATAGACTATGTTATCCACGTGATATTATATTCATACCCTCCAAGTAAGAACTAAAATCATAATTGAAATATATTATCATCTAATTTAACTGCAATAACTTAAGTTTTTTTTAACTGTGTTATTGTTGTAAAGTATTTACAAACATGGTTAACAACTAATTTTAGTTGAAAAAATCTAGTTAGACTTAAACGCAAGATCCCCTTTAAACAGAGAAGTCACCAACGATAGGAAACATAGGTTTGTGAAATAAATTGTGGATATGATGGTTTTATAAGATGGCATGGCCCCCTTGACCACCATTCGCAGCAGATTCATAATTGATTGAGTGAAGGTTAATAATGATCGATCCCACAAGGCAGGAGAAGGAGGAAAAAGTGGAAGAAAATCAGAGAGAGTTTGAAAGTTGAAAGGCATTGTTATTTGTCAGCTACATATCTCAATGTTATAGTAATAGCCAACCAAATGCCATTTACTTACAACTACTAAACTTGGTAACAGGAACGCACCCTCTCCAAGGACAAAGAGGCAATTAATAATAAAGGCTCACACTTTCAAGTTTCACACTCAGTCACCCAATTGAAACCACCTTTTCTCTTCTCTTACCGCCGAATGAGTTACAACTATGTAACATTGGTTGAGTTGAGGATAAGGTTGCAGATCCTTGAGGTACCAATCAGATGCAGCCTTTCAGAACATATTCAAAAATGATTCAATTTAGTTTCTTTTCTGGCTGCATACATAACATAACATAGCATAGCATACACTGCATCTGCAACAGCAGCCTCAGGCTGTGGTTAATTTATATCTTCTTAACAGTGCTGCTATGCTATGATATGATGGGACTTTCCCTTTGGGTTTTTCATTTGCTCGATGCCGTTATGCCCATGTCCCTCTTCTGTGCTCTTTTGGACTTTTGCAATTAACCAACTTATATGATGAGAGAGATCAACTCAGACTCACTCCAAGACCCATCATTTTCTTTCAGCCTTCTTTAATATCCATGAGTTTTTTTTTTTTTTTTTTTCACTTATGGACCTAAACTATAATAATACAACCTTTTTTCGTGTGTACACATTCTTGTCTTTTTCTGCTCCTTTGTCTTTTTTTCAGGTACCACTCTGTGAGTCTGGCCTCTTGAAACCTGTGATTTTCCCTTGGAGCTATTAAGGTCCGGGGAAGAATTTTCTAGCCTTTGTTCCTTTCCCTGCTTGGTTTTTAAAAGGGTTTATCAGGGTTCCCATTTGAGAATTTTTTTTTCAAAACACTTTCCTTTTTGGAGGTTATTGAAACAAGGGCAAGGTAGATTCCTGATAGTATTCTCTTCTCTTACACCTTTCTGCTTTTTAATTCCCAATGAAGGGGAAAAAATACATTTTTTTTTTATCGCATTAGTAACCATGACTCATTTAGGTGGAAAAAAAGTTTTAAGTCATCTATGTCTATATATATGAAATAGATAACTGTGTTATCTGTCACAGTGTCACTCCCTTTTGCCACACTTCCCTTGGTTTGTTTTCTCACAACCACCCCTTTATCTGTATTTGCAGGCAGCAGAAGGGATTGCAGAACTCATACCAATGGCAGATTGGGGTGGTTTTCTGAACAAAACCAGCGGTTTTGGTGGGGGGTCAACGAGAAATGAAGACTTTGACGAAGAAGATGTGTTAGGTGTGACCATGGAGAGGGACTATTTAAGCCCAAAAATAATGGTATCTAAGGAGTCCTCTGATTCTTCTTCTTCCTCTGCATGGCGCATCTCAACCTCACCAAGAAAGATTCCAAGAACTAACAGTATCACACTACTACCCTCCTTGGAATCTGATGCAAATGAGGTTCGAGGATCCTCAGCACCTATGGACATTCCTGACTGGTCTAAAATATATGGGAAAAAGTGTGTTGAGGAGGAGGGTGTAAACAAGAAGTTTGATTGTAGTCATCATGGGGATCATTACCATGGTGATTATGGTGATGATGACGACGACGATGACGATGACATGATTCCTCCTCATGAATGGATTGCTAGGAAACTTGCAAGGAGCCAGATTTCATCTTTCTCTGTGTGTGAAGGGATTGGGAGGACACTGAAAGGGAGAGATCTGAGCAAAGTGAGAAATGCTATTTTGACCAAAACAGGTTTCATAGAGTAGAAGTAGTCTATAGTCTCTAGTCTATAGTCATAGTGATGGTCATGTCTTTATCGACTTCATATTTGGCATCACCATATCCACATGCAATGAAGTCATCATCATTATCATTGTTAGACTAGGATCCCATCATGACATGCAATCTCTTTTATTTGATTTATGTTGGCACTCATGTATGGAATGTGAGTGAGCTGCGGAACTCATAATAGAGCCTGAACTGTACGAGAAAGCCAGTGGTGCCCTTTTTTGTTTTTTTGTTCTTTTTGTTTTCTTGTTCTAAATTTTCTGGGAGGAGGGGACTGGCAGCCTCTGAAATTTTGTCTGGATTTGTATTAGACTTTAGGCGAATGGAGTCTGTGTTTTTATATAGAGTTTATTAGTCTTCCAAGTTTTCACTTCTGCTTCGTTTTTGGTTTATCATTAGTTAACTATCATTGCTTTTATATATATAGTTTAGTACATCATTCGTGCATGATCTCTGTTACCACCTCACAATACTGTTTATCATTATCATCCTGATTCAGGTACAATCCCTTTCGACACTTAATATTGTCAAACCACTGCTTGTATATTCGAGTTATGATTATCACTTTGGAACCTAATTTTTAAGTCCTCAACTCAATGTATAGATACTAGTAAATCAAGACCGCAACCTTTTTTTTTTGCGCGAAGAATATGACTTCGTTTCCATTAGAAGCAGGGACCACCACTAATATAATATGGTACAAGGTATAATAAATAGATGAAAATGATTGTTGCAAAGAGAGCTTGTACCAAAATAAAATAAAAAAGTTGCATTCGTTTTATTCTTTAAAAAATTTGTGATCGAAATGTCGAGTGTATTATAATATTGATAGAATTTAACGTAATATTTTTATTAATAAAAATATTAATAGATAAATTTTATGTGATAGTATTTATAAATTTTTTAACATAATTTGAGAATGAAGATTAAAATAAATTATTTTTAAAATTATAAAATTAAAAAATCATTCATTCAATCTTTGCAATTATTCTATGTAAAAAATTAAAAATGAATTGGCCAAGAATCTGTAATACTGGATGGAGAAAAAATGCTTACACTTTTTTTGTTTTTTAATCGTAATACCTTTACGCATGTTTGAGTTAAATAAATAGAAGTTACCGAAAATTTTGATAAAATAAAATAAAATAAAATAAAAATACGCATCCCAAGTTCCCAACACTCTTTATGTTTTTTTTTATTTAAATAAAGTGGTAAAAGGTTGTTAAAAAATAATATAAAAAAAATATCATTTCTCTTCTCGAACTGACAATCTTACTTCTCCGACAAATGGAACTCTTAATAAAAAAAACTCACTTGTTTTTCATTACAAATCCAGTTTCGAGACATTGGATTTCTCTTACAGTTATTTTTAGGAATTTTAAAATAATGCTAATTATGCTTAAGTTATAAATAATAATTAGAAAAATTAATGATAAGAGAAATAGATGGAGATGAGTATATAATTTACACTCTTTTATCTCTCTCTATATATATTTTGTTTCTTTTGTGTTTATTTTTAGTTCTAGATATCCTTAAATTTACCTTATCTTATTTTATTTTATCTTACTTACAACTTTATCATAAATTCTTTATGTAATAATTTTTTTATATTATTTTTAAGTAATAATTCCTCTTTATAATATTATTTCTTCCAATATTTTAAAAAAATATTAAGTATTGAAACTGTATGACATAATAAAATATTAATGAGTAATTATGAGCATTTTTAAAATGAATATAAATGATAAAATTATGTTATAAAAAATTTCACAAAATTTTTGTAAAGAATATTTCTCGTATAGAAAATTGTAACCGAAATTCACACATTTTTTATGTAATATAAATAAAAAAATTATGCTAAATTTTCTTTCACAAAATTTACATAAAAGAATATTTCATGTATATGAAATTAGAATAAAAATTCATTAATTATATTAATTATTATTTATGAATAATTTTAAAATAAATAAAGAAAATAAAAGTATGCTAAAATTTCTTTTACAAAAATCTTGTAAATAATATTTCTCGTATATAAAATTGTAATGGAAATTCACTTTTTATTTTTTAATTTTTTTATGTAATATATATATA